GTTCTGTTTCACTAGTGGTCCTCCTACGTTTCACTACGTCGCCACCCAGAACAGTTACTACTGGAGCATTCCGTCCCCTGGACTTACTTCGCCAGCGGGACCATACCTTCGACCAGTACCGCAACCTCAACACTTACTCAGACCTTAATGCCTGATAGTCGTACGGTATTCTTATCTGTTAGACTCGAGAGAGATATCACGGACCCTGACTTGGTCTCTGACTCTCTCGCTCTCTCTCTCTCTCTCTCTCTCTCTCTCTTCTCTCTTTGACTCTGACTGCCTCTGACTGACAACAACAAAATACAAAAACAAAAGGACCCTTTCTCATGCTATAAGGCGTTTTGGGCACATAGGGGTAGACCTATATTTTACAGACCAATCAGCACTTGGTGGGTGATGTAGCCGCGTTTACTTCCCGTGACTACTTCCAGCACCCAATCAAGGCTGGGGCGACCTGGAAGCCAAAGTTTTTATTTTATTTCATACAGACGGACAGAATAGTTGTAATTATTAAGATACAAATGCATGTATACCTACTAACTGTACGTAAATGAACAACACTCTTCATAAGCCAAACAATCTCTCAGTATTTATGAAACAAAACTTAAGAAAACAACACACTTCTAACGTCAGAAACAATCGCAATACATTTAAAAGGCAAACACAACTGGTGATTGCCTTTTTCCTGCTGGAAAAAGCAGTACTGTGTTAACGCATTGTTAGCCGGGCCCGGTGACATCAGCAGAACGGCCCATCGGCTGAAGCCTGTCGTGTTTAGGCCAACAGGTAGCCATCGTTCAGTCTTAATCCTTTATCTGTTCGTTATACATTTCTTTCGCGGTTTATCTTTATCATTTTGTCACGTTCTCAGCCATCTATCATGCAATTTGTTTAATTAGTGGCCAATTTTCTCCACTTAGCCTTCGTTTATTTACTTCATTGCTTTCCCCTTTATCGATCTATGTCCTACCTGTTTGCCGACACAAATTGAATGTGTTGAACGCGATTTTGTGAACGTGTTTTGCACGTCTATGCGGTTCTGTGGCTTCGGTTTTAGTAGTTAATGACCCTTTTCCATGCCATAATACATACTGGGTACTTAGTACTAGACCCAATTTTTATTGACACCTTGAGATTCGGTGGTATCTTATTTTAGCCTGGATCTACCTGGGAGCCAAAATCACTGTTGAGAAAACAAACCTGGCTGCAAAGGGATACCTAATCTACATACTTCAGACCCAATGCGAGCGTCTAGCCGCTACACCTCAGAGGCTACCTTAGGTGTTAGTGAATGCGTTTAATCAGGGCTTTTCCTCTAGTCCGCGTCTGTGGCTTAGACGATTCGGGTGTCTGTATTTTTCAGGTACTCGGTTTAATTTTAGCTGCGGGTTTGTAGGTAGCAGACCGCGTTGCGTTGATCTCTACAGGGGTGTCGAGACCCGACTGTGGAGTCCATGGAAAAAGTACTGAATGTGTTAAACTGTTTATTAACACAAAAACAAGCTACAGATGTTATCGTTATTTCTGTATGGGATAGACAACTATCGTTTCCCCTAGAAAATAAAATGGCAGTTCTCACCACCAAACATTGACTATAAGAGAAGGTTGGAAAAAAAAATTCCTTAAGTAGCTGCCGGTACTGCATTCTGTTGCATATCGACAGGAACAAATGTATGATTTCTTGACTACCTCGGTTCGACCCTCCAGAGCAGAGGGTTTGTTTAACAAAACAACCTCACAGATGCAGAACAGACTGGGACCTAGCAATGTAACATAATACTCCTAAAGGCGGCACTGGGTACAATGTGGTCAACCTTCATTGTTGAAACGGCTCTTTTTTTGTGTGTGTATACCACGTTATATTTTACCAATGGGTGTCTGCTTAATTAAATGAGAAAATATGAAACCGAACGAAAAGTATGTAAGCAAGCATCACAATATAACAAATACAAATAAAACGTGAACGTTGCGGCTTTTGAGCCTTCATCAGCACATACAACAATACTAGACAGAAAAACAAAATCACTTAGCTGGTATCTCGAAGCAGCCGGGTCGGTCGTTTCTCAGCAGAAAAAAAAAAAGTAAAGTAATGGTGGCCGATGAAATGCTGACCACATGACCCACCGAGTACCGATTGGTTTAGAAAATATATGTTCAGCCCTGTATGTCCGATACCCTCGAAGCCATGGAAGAGAAACATTTGCTGTGTGTGTGTGTCTGCCTGTCTGCATGAGAATTAACTTAGGTAGGGCGGAAAATTTGAATAGTACCCAAACAACAGTGTATAATTAGTTCCTTCTGTCCTGTTCTATTCTTTATTTCCATTAGTCATAAAACAGCATTAGTACTAACTAACATTAGGTTAACAGTATATCCAAAATGCAACCCACAAACTTAAAAATAGCGTCAATGGAAGCTGAGCAGATTTATGCAACTGCAAAAACTGGCAAAGAAATTATATTTAGAACATGAATATTCCAACAACTGTGAACTCTGAGATACAGGGCAAAGGGTGAGAATACCCGGACATATACACTGGAAGAAATAATGATGGAAGCTAGACGGGCGCCTACTGTTGAAACTCGATATGGCGAAAATCTAGATTTATGGAACATAAGGGTATAGGAAATGTCAGAGTCGTTCAGATGAATTAGCCGTAAAC